ATAATTTGGATAGTACTAATAGAAAACAATAGTTTTTATCGGTTACATTTTTAAAAAATATTTAAACCTTAAGATTTTATAGATTTTTTAAAATAAACATGATTTTTGATGAGAAGTGACTTGGCGCACCATAGTAAAGCTAAAAAATTAAGCTATTATGAAAATTACTATTATAAATTTAATTAGAACTATATATATTGCAAAGATTAATATATTTAAAATTCAACAAAAATTTTATTTAAACTAATAAAAGTAAAAAATTAAAATTAAAATTTATAATTTAATAAAGCCATATTCAAGCTATATTTTTGATTAAAAAGCAATAGATGAATACTGTAGTTTTAAAGTTGTTAAAAAAAAAACTTTTGCAAATTATTATATAAACAACTTCCGGAACCCCTATAAAAAACATGGTCTGTAATTATTAAATTTAAAAATTTTAACAAAGTATATTAAATCTATAAAAACTGGTTAACTACAAATTAAATAAACAAACTGACATAGTTAACTAAAAAAAATATTAAAAAATCCAATTACAAAATTTAAAAAAATAAATTAATATGCTAAATAGATCATAAACTACTTTAATAATCTACCTTAAAACTAGCCACGAGCTTTAACAAAAAAAAAAAAAAAGTATAAAAAATGCAATCAATCTTTGGTTTGAACCAGTATAAATCTCATGATATAGTAAAGCCAGAGCAATAATATATAGTAGGTAAATACTATGCTATCATTATTCTATTATCTGATAAATATTTGAACCCCCAAAAGATCATCTTAAAATATAATAAATAAATAATAAAAATAATTTTGGTTTTGCTATTAAATAAAAAGAAAAGGATTCTTTAAAATGGTGCACCTGCATCCTTTCGATCGAACAATAAACTATGTAAAACAAAAACGTGAAGATTAGATATAATACAGAAATGCTTATTATTCTATTAAACCGCCTTTCATGTTCTAATAAAAAAGTGTTCACGAAACTTTAGTGATAACCTAAATTCATATTTTCCTTTACTCAACAAACGTTAGACTCCAAGCTTTAATTTGAAATCTTTAAATAATTACGTCCTTAATGGCATATTAAAAAGTTTCTTTATAATATTTATTATTTTATTACGCTATAAAAATAATCGTGATTTAGTAACACTCTATAAGTTAAAAACAACACACAAATTATTTTAACTTCTATCTTGTGTAATTACTAACAAATTTAATCCTTTATCATAATGTATGCATTTTTATACAATTTATCATGATATCACAAACCTTTAAAGTTGCACTTAATTAACAGAATCCTAAAGATCATCATAGGCTATTATTTTTCGCTTGTGTCCTTGTAATCGTGGATCAAAAGCCTGTGGTGGTAGCGCAGATGTAGCTGGAAATACTATTTGAATAATTATAATATTGAATTATAGGTTTAAACAGCAGAACAGGCATTAAAATTAAAATTTACTACTTGTTTGAGCTGAAATTGAGGAAGTGCTATAAGTAATTGGCTTAGTTTCATTTAGCCTGGCCTCAGCACCATCTATATAGATGAGTTTAAATTTTGGTAATTATTTTGTTGAAAATTTAGGCAAACACTGTTGATAAATTGCTAACCTGCATCACTCCAGGGTACATTGCCAAAACCATTTTTATTTCGTTCAGGCCGCTTTGCTCTATTTACTATGCGCATTGATAAATACTATTAGTGATTTCAAATGACCGTTATTTCATTTGACTAATTTTATATATATATATATTTATATCCACCTTGTACATAACCTGAACCGAGTAGAGTATTATTCATTCTGCGGCGAGCTTCATTAGCATTTTCTTCGGTGTCAAAATCGATAAATGCGATTCTGTAAGAGAGAACTGCATTTTCAATAATATTTGTGAAAATATTGTATCAGTCATATGTTAATAAAGAACTACTATTCACCCTTTTTCTGGTAACATATCAATGCTTTCAATATCACCGAATCGCTCAAAAGCATTATGCAATGCACGTTCAGAAACACCCCGAAGTTCCCCAACATATATTTTTCTGGTATAGAATTCAGTGTCAATATATCTACTTGCTGTCGAAAATGGCTAACAGGATTATACACAATTGAATAAGTAACAAAAAAGATTACAATTAAAAAGTAATATACGGACTTACATCATCTTGTCCAGATTGTGTCCATTTCCTCCCCTCAGGGCCAATGCTTCTGTCTCGAGAATGAGAACGCCTTCTACCATTAGGCCTTCGATCATTATCGTCTTCACTATCTGATGATCTACGTGACCACGTTCTAGCACGTTTTCGATCTCTTTGCCTATCGTCATCACTGCGATAGTAGTCATCTCGGTCGCTATCCGAATGTCTGTAATAACTTGAACGTCTTGGTACATAGCTATCATATTGCAGTTTCCTATAGTGATAACTGCTCGATCGGGACTCGTAGTAATCATCAGAGTGTCGATATCGTGAAGAACGGCTACTACTGTATCTTCGATGTTCGGATCTGTGACGTTCATAGTCACTGTGATCACTATTATCTAAATCATCATTTCGCTGACGCCCATTACGGCGCAACATGCGACCAAACTCATCCACTTCAACAGGCTCACTATTGATGATGTGCGTTATGGGATAATATTTAATTAACGAAAAAATAATAGCATCATTATGAACTTACTCGTCATCTTTTCTTTTTTCATCATAAGCTGATTTATATTGTTGAATGATATTATCGTTTGTCAAAAGGCCTGACACTTCGTCTGGCTCAACTTTACGGGGTTGTTGTGTGTTGTCTTCTTTAGCCTTATCACAGTAGGAAAAAAGAATTATTTGTAAATAGATCTACACATTTTGATAAATAAAGAATTAGATTTGGGTATTATTTATTACATACCATCACCATATTTAACTAACGGATTAGTAAAGAAAAAAAAAAAAAAAAAAAAAGAAAATTTACTAGCATATGTAAATACGATGCTCAAAAAAAAAAAAAAAAAAAAAAAAAAAAAAGTACGTACGTATGTATTACAATGACGCAACTCTTGTCACACAAAACTAAGTTGGTTTTACACACATCAGCACATCAAAAAGATTATCATATTTGTATTTCACATTTAGTAGCGATGTTATTTCGTGGGCGTAGTTCTGTTTTGAACCTTGCAGCGCTGAAAAGAACCATTACACCTAACCAAAAAATTCTTTTTCGAAATTTCATAACTTTAAATGCTTACAAAAGATATCCATTGTCATTTGTGCCGAATTCAAAAATTACATTTTCACATTATGCGGACAAAAGATTTTATGCTGGTGGACCGGGTACGTGATTGATTCTGTCAGATTTTTATACTTTTGCTACTAAATTGTATACATTGATAAAGAATATTTTTAGGCAATATACGGATTAATCCTGGGCAAGGCGCACCGTCGAAAGGTCATTCACTCGAAGAATTCGGCTACGACCTGACTAAACTTGCAGCGGAAGGAAAGCTTGATCCTGTGATTGGACGTGAGGAAGAAATCAGGCGCACTATACAAGGTTAGTTCTGAAATTTCATGCATTTATATCGGATATATTTATTGCAACGCATTTCTCACATTAATTATTAACTAGTGTAAGTATCAATGAGTTTCTTATTTGAGTCACTCACTCTTTAAATATAGTGATTTTCTTGTTCATTCATCAGATTGTCGCGACGCACAAAAAACAATCCCGTTCTAATTGGTGAAGCTGGTGTTGGAAAAACGGCAATTGCTGAGGGACTGGCTCAAAGAATTGTCAAGGGCGAAGTCCCAGAAAGTATTAAAGATAAAAAGGTGATAGCTTTGGATCTAGGATCACTTATCGCAGGTTCAAAGTATAGAGGGGAATTTGAAGAACGACTCAAAGCAGTATTACGTGAAGTTCAGGAAGCCGAAGGAAAATTTATTTTATTTATTGATGAATTGCATACCTTGCTTGGATTAGGAAGGTCTGAAGGATCAATAGATGCTGGAAATTTACTCAAACCGGCTTTGGCTAAAGGTATATTAAGATGTTGTGGTGCTACGACGATCGATGAATATCGTAAATATATCGAAAAGGATCCTGCGTTGGCCAGGAGATTTCAATCTGTGATGATCGTAGAACCAAATGTCGAAGAAACAATAACAATTTTACGAGGTCTTAAAGAAAAATATGAAATACACCATGGTGTTCGGATTTCAGATTCCGCTCTTGTTGCTGCTGCCACATACTCTCATCGATATATTACGGATAGATTTCTTCCAGATAAAGCAATAGATCTTGTTGACGAAGCATGCTCAAAGCTTCGTTTACAGCAAGAAAGCAAGCCTGAAGCAATTGACAATCTTGATAGACAAATAATAATTCTTCGAATTGAATTGGAATCATTGAGGAAAGAAACAGATTTGGCTTCTCAGGAACGTCGAAAGAAATTACAGATAGAATTAGATGAGAAACAAAAAGAATTAGATAGTCTCAACATGATTTGGCAGGAAGAGCGTGCTAAACTAAAAGAAATTAAGAATATTAAATCTCAATTAGAGCAAGCTAAAATTGAGTTAGAATCAGTTCAGAGACAAGGTAACTTCACTCGAGCAAGCGAACTTCGCTATGGAGTTATTCCAGAATTAGAAAAACAGCTTCCTCATGATGGTGAAGAAGAAGGTTCAGAATCACTTCTTCGTGAAAGAGTTATTGCGGATGACATTGGAATCATTGTATCTCGGATAACTGGAATTCCAATTCACAACTTGCTTCGAAGCGAAAGGGATAAATTATTACATATGGAAGAAAATCTTTCACAACGTGTTGTAGGGCAAGATGAAGCTATTCGAGCTGTGTCAGAAGCGGTCAGGCTGAGTCGTGCTGGATTACAAAGTCCTTCACGACCAATTGCTTCATTTTTGTTCCTCGGCCCCACAGGGGTAGGAAAGACTGAGCTTTGTAAAGCTATCGCAGAGTTTTTGTTTGATACAGAATCGTCCATCATTCGTGTTGATATGAGTGAATATATGGAAAAGTAAATGTGACAATCCACTTAAAATATAGTAAATAAAAATGTGATTATTATAACTATACATATACTAGGTTTGCGGTATCACGTTTGGTCGGTGCACCCCCTGGCTATATTGGATATGAAGAAGGTTGTGTATACTAACACGCGAAGATAACTAATCTTGTTTATAGTAAGGTCTTTACTAATCTTGCGAATATCTAATAGGAGGTGAACTCACAGAGGCAGTTCGACGTAAGCCGTTTTCAGTTGTTCTCTTGGATGAAATGGAAAAGGCTCATAGAGGTAAACAGCAATTCATCTCATTGGAGAAATTAATTAATTAGCTGCTACTAAATCCGAATATTGTTTTGAAATTTTATAATGTATCGGGTGAATAGACGTATCCAACTTATTATTACAGATCTTGGATGATGGACATGTTACCGACTCGCAAGGTCGAAAGGTAATAGAGATTTTAAGTATTACAAACAATGTGTATCTGTGTATCATTAATCCATATTTACCGTATTTAATCCAATAAAAAGATTGATTTCCGTAATACAATCATTATCATGACAAGTAATCTTGGTGCTGATATTTTAGTCGCGTCAGATATTGTAGAAGAGGGTAAAGTAAGCGATTTGACAAAAGCTGCAGTACTTGATGTCGTAAGAAGACATTTTTTACCAGAATTCATAAATCGTATTGACGAAATGGTAAGAGATCAATTATATTGATGAGGGTAAAATAATCACTATAATAATTAATAATTTTAATAGATCGTTTTCAACCGCCTATCTCGTATGGCACTTCAAGATATAGTAGATATTCGCCTTCGAGAAGTTCAAAAACGATTAGAAAACAGACATGTCACCGTTGATGTGGATGAACATGCTAAGGCCTGGTTAGCGGAGAAAGGCTATGACCCAGCCTATGGTACCTATTCTTAACTTTGATTTCTAGGTGAAGCATGTCACAATAACATTAAATAACTGTCTGCTTGATAATAGGATCTAGGCCATTAAATAGATTGGTTCAGAAGAGGATTCTAAATCCACTGTCTATGTGTTTGATAGAGGTTAGTAACTCTAAGAAAAATAATTTTTTATCCAAAAATTATATTTTTTAATGTTCAGTTTTAATCTAGTATTTCTAATTCTAGTAAATACTTTATATAGATATTTAATATGATTTTTTTTTTTTTTTTTT